GGGGCCCCAAAGGGAACATTTACCAATATTTTCAAATTCTTATCCATTGATGACATGACAAGTATTGTATTTCACTTAGTTTACATGCTGATTTCCACATCACATCTAAACAATAAAATAAAGCTACCAGTACCTATGATATAACTCAGGTGACCGCTAAGGCCCTTGGGCCTCTTGTTTATTAATCAAGAAGAAAATAAACGGCTCTAAAAAGCTTAAATTTCTGTAATTGATAATTAAAACCTTTTTGTTTTTACATAAAAAACACTATACTTGTGACTATGGCTTACATAATGTCAGTGTTCCAGTAAGGACATTAAACCTAACAAGCAAGGTAATTCCAAAATGACTACCGTTATACCCAAACGAAGTTAGACAATACCAGATAAAGAGTATGACTCCGAGACTACAGCAGACAATGCTGTTTGTGTAGGCTCCTGAGCCGGGAGTAAAAAGAAACAGGAGGGGACAGGAACAGGATGAGACAGGAACAGGAGGGGACATGAACATGAACAGAAGGGGACAGTGACAGGAACATAACCTGGACGGGACATGAGAGGACATGAACAGGACAGGAACAGGATGGGACAGGAATAGGATGGGATAGGAACAGAAAGGGACAGGAACAGGATGGGACAGGAACAGGAATAGGAACAGGGACAGGAGGGGACATGAACATGAGCATGAGGGGACAGGAACAGGAGCAGGGACAGGAGGGGACATGAACATGAGCAGGGACATGAACATGAACAGGAGGGGACATGAACATGAGGGGACATGAACATGAGCAGGGACATGAACATGAACAGGAGGGGACAGGGACATAACCTGGAGGGGACATGAGAGGACAGGAACAGGAACATGAACAGGAGGGACAGGAGGGGATATGAAGGGACAAGGTGGGACAGGAAGGAACAGGATGGGATAGGAAATGATACCCAAACGAAGTTAGACATTACCAAATAAAGAGTATGACTCCGAGACTCCAGCAGTCGATGCTGTTTGTGTAGGCTCCTGGGCCTGCAGTAAGAAGGAACAGGAGGGAACATGAACAGAATGGGACATGAACATGAACAGGAGCGGACAGGGACAGGGACATAACCTGGAGGGGACAGGAGAGGACGTGAATAGGACGGGACAGGAACAGGAACAGGAGGAACAGGAACAGGGACATGAAGGGACAAGGTGGGACAGGAAGGAACAGGATGGGATAGGAAAGGATACCAAAACAAATTAAGTTAGACATTATGAAATAATAATATGACTCCGTGACTCCAGCAGTCAATGCTGTTTGTGTAGGCTCCTGAGCCTGCAGTAAGAAGGGACAGGATGGGATAGGAACAGGGACATGAAGGAACAGGATGGGACAGGAACAGGAACAGGGACATAAAGGGACAAGTTGGGATAGGAAGGGATACCCAAACAAAGTTAGACATTACCAAATAAAGAGTATGACTCCGAGTCGCCAGCAGTCGATGCTGTTTGTGTAGGCTCCTTAGCCGGCAGTAAGAAGGAACATGATGGGATAGGAAGGGATACCCAAATGAAGTCTGACATTACCAAATAAAGAGTATGACTCCGAGTCGCCAGCAGTCGACGCTGTTTGTGTAGGCTCCTTAGCCGGCAGTAAGAAGGAACATGATAGGATAGGAAGGGATACCCAAATGAAGTTTGACTTTACCAAATAAAGAGTATGACTCCGAGACTCCAGCAGTTGATGCTGTTTGTGTAGGCTCCTGGGCCTGCAGTAAGAAGGGACAGGAACAGTGACATGAAGGGACAGGATAGGACATGAAGGGATACCTACCCGAAGTTAGACATAACCAACTATAGAGATTATCACTCCGAGTCTCCAGCAGTCGATGCTGTTTGTGTAGGCTCCTGGGCCTGCAGTAAGAAGGGACAGGAACAGTGACATGAAGGGACAGGATAGGACATGAAGGGATACCTACCCGAAGTTAGACATAACCAACTATAGAGATTATCACTCCGAGTCTCCAGCAGTCGATGCTGTTTGGGTAGGCTCCTTAGCCGGCAGTAAGAAGGAACATGATAGGATAGGAAGGGATACCCCAATGAAGTTTGACATTACCAAATAAAGAGTATGACTCCGAGACTCCAGCAGTCGATGCTTTTTGTGTAGGCTCCTGAGCCGGCAGTAAGAAGGATCTCTGGAGCTAGATATGTTGGGGTTCCACAAAATGTCTTCATGATAGATCCAGCATCCACAAACTTAGACAACCCAAAATCTGTGACCTGCAGTGTTAAATAGGTTGTTAGATGCTTTGAATAGAACAATCAAGAAGAATGCTTGGCGCATGGAAGTCTTGTACATAATCTAACTATCTACATATAACGCAGCACCAAGGACTGTATTCTCAATAAAAATAATATCAATCAGTTGGATACAATCTACAGACAATATTCCTGTACAATGGGAATTAGTGAATACATAACAATGCTAAATAGTCTTATTTTCAGATTTGCCCTCTTACATAATTTTTGATTCAAGCTATCCTTATTCCTGGGCACATTCTTTTTTTAATCATTAATCAATGAGTGTTTAAAAAGATCTTAATATTGATATCTGTATTTAATAACTTTAGATATTATGTAGGAAATGAACTCACTTTGATTACAGTTTCATTATTTTCTGAAGCAAGAAGTATATTTTCTGGCTGAAAAGAGAAATTCATATTTTTAAAGACTTACAAGTACAATACAAGTCAAGTTTTCTGTATTTTCCTCTACTTGCATGATTGTGTTAGGACAAACATTTCGCAATAACATAACCAATTATATAATAGAAATCCTATTTTTGAAAAAAATCCACAACACAAATCATGTTTGCATTATTATGTTTGGTTACAAATTTCACATTAATACATTGTATATGTAACACAAACGCAACCAGAGCATGATGTTGACTGCTTAGCCATCATCAAACACACATGACTTCATGGACTTTTTTTTACCCGTCATCATCAACAAACACCTACTTATTTAGCTTTTTAATCTATTATCATCAAACTAAACACCCGTGACTTAACTTTTCCTATCTGTTGCCATCAAAAAAACATAACTTGTGGTTTACCATTTTACCCGTAAATATCAGATGCACTGGCTGCTGACTCACCTTTAGATCTCTGTGAGTAATTCCTTGATCATGGAGGTACTGAAACAAGTTAATGCTGAGAAATAAATCATTAATCATCGTTATTTCTGCTATACGCATCCAATAACATTTTCAATAAATTTCAAAGGGGTAATAGTTTCACAGAACATGGTACTTGATGAAGGAAAACCACCCAGATTAGACAGTTTTCACATTATCACCAATACACCAGATTTAGTATTAGTGTAATCATTTTCATTTCTATACACTTGTATCAGTTTTCAGATTTTGTTTTTACCTACCCATTAAAAAAACTTCAGTTTTTACAGTCTTTTCTGCATTGTCACCACCCATTTTCCACAGACACCAATATTTTGTTAATTTCGTTTTTAATTTGTTTCGTAACAGTGTTAAGATTATCCAGATAGCTTTTAAGAACATATTTAATTTATCATATTTTGAGAGTTTTTGTAAACAGAGTGTTTAGGAAAATACGATCTGCACAGTTAGACAAGGGCCTTATTGATCACCTGACCTGTGATATAGGACGATCACCTGACCTGTGATATAGGACAATCACCTGACCTGTGATATAGGACAATCACCTGACCGGTGATATAGGACAATCACCTGACCTGTGATATAGTTATTCCTTTTGTTGAAATATTAAGTAGAAATAATCAGATACACGAAGAGAGATGTACAATACCTTTCATGTCAGAAACAAAAAACACAATTAAAACCATTCAGATGTACTATATTAGTATGCAAAATATAAGTTTTTATCATTTTTTATATAAAGATTTAGTACAGTAGGCCCCACCTCAAGGGCATGAAGGAGAAATCCATGAGCACTGAATTCACATTTTTTATCAACGACCAATCGGTTTCAATAATAGCCATGCTTCAGTTTCTTTGTGCAGATACTTTTCATTACAAAGATATCAAAAAGCATTATATTTATAACTATACGTAAAGTTAGCAGATATATCCTCGAGAATGTCGTATTGTTTATAATTATACTTAGAGTTAGCAGATAAATCCTCCAGAATGTCGTAATATTGACAATTATACTTAGAGTTAGCAGATATATCCTCGAGAATGTTGTATTGTTTATAATTATACTTAGAGTTAGCAGATATATCCTCCAGAATGTCGTATTGTTTATAATTAAACTTAGAGTTAGCAGATATATCCTCCAGAATGTCGTAATGTTTATAATTATACTTAGAGTTAGCAGATAATCCTCGAGAATGTCGTATTGTTTATAATTATACTTAGAGTTAGCAGATATATCCTCCAGAATGTCGTATTGTTTATAATTATACTTAGAGATAGCAGATATATCCTCCAGAATGTCGTAATGTTTATAATTATACTTAAGAGTTAGCAGATATATCCTCCAGAATGTCGTATTGTTTATAATTATACTTAGAGTTAGCAGATATATCCTCGAGAATGTCGTAATATTGATAATTATACTTTAAGAGTTAGCAGATATATCCTCGAGAATGTCGTATTGTTTATAATTATACTTAGAGTTAGCAAATATATCCTCCAGAATGTCATAACACTTACCTTGCAGGCCATCACCATTTGGTAGAAGAGGAGTTTAGCGGTTGGTTCATCATACTGTCCTATACTGACTACCTTGTCAAACAGCTCGCCTCCTTCTACACTATAAACAAACACCAAACGTTAACACCAGACAAATACATAGGGCTACCATGTAAGTAGTCTGAATAATTCTTGACGATTCATCTTTTTTTTTTTATATCGGTCCGTCGTTGGTAAATCGACGACAGACCGATGTAGAAAAAGTTGATAAAACGTCAGAAGAATTCGGACAACATGTTAGTTGTATTAAGTACCAGGTACCTAACAAAAATTATGATGGTTTGGGGAGAGTGGGCACTAATATTTGATTTTTGTTCACTCATTTTTTTCTCTCAAAAGCTTGTAACATTTTCTGCTGATGTCAACAAAAAAAAATCCTTTCTCCTGGAATTACATATAAGGTTTTACTTGAGGTTTTTTTTTATGTCTGAATTGAATATATTTTTTTTCTTTAATGGCTTATTTCTGTTGAACCACTTTTATTATTATTCCACAGTGACTATAATTGATTTGTATTGACCGGGGGTCGATCATCAGGATGCTCTATTTATTAGCACTATCAGCTTGATATTCACTTTATAATGGTAATCATTACATCTTCAACTAATTTAGATGTCCTTCGATCATGACATTTTGGCAACAGATAAATAATAATGGGCAATTAGTCAAAAAACAATTAAACATTTGACATTTATTTATAAAATCAAGTGTTACTTGAGTTTAAACACTTACACTTCCAGGATTATAAACAGCGTATCAGGAGTGTCAATCACATCTTCTATTGCTATAATGCATGGCTGGAATAGGAAAGTTCAAATAAAATACAACATCTGATTGACATTTGTGAGTTATTGCTATAATATTCATGTGTTTCACATTCTAAGGAAAAACAGGAGACCTATATACTAATAAATCTGTTTGTATAATTGTAACCTATGGCAGGTTGCAATCCATCAAACACAGATACTTAACAATGAACAACAAAAATATCACATTAACTTCAAGACAAAATTACAGTATTGTACTTAAAGTATCTACCATCAATATCGGAGGTTCTGCCAAAACTTAGATAAAAAAAAAAATCAATATAGTTCAAAGCTTTCCAAATTACAAATTTGATACAATGAACAAGCTATTTAAGGGCTAAAACAAGCAAAGTGGTTTTTAATTATCTCAATCTCCAGTAATTATGTCATAATTATATACTTACATGTTTTAATGCTTTCAGAATCTTTACTTCGCTCATAACTTGTTTACTTAAATTCTGAAATATAAAATGAGATATCTTTACATGGAATCTAAAAAATATTCACTAACAAATCTTCTGAAAGTTAAAAAAAAAGATTTCTTTACATCATTTATTAAAGAAAATATAACTATATGTTATGAGTATGGATAATTTAAAACTTACAATTTGGGAGTTGCCTCCGATGGAGAATTTCTTTTTTGATATTATCTTGACAGCAAACCTCTCACATGATCCCTTAGCAAAGGCCAGCTTCACCTCCCCACACGCTCCTCTGTTGAAATACAAGTAGATTTACATACATCATTATTTTTGACAGTTAACAGTGTTCTCTCCAGAATGTTTTGAAAGAAGCATGGTATTTCAATATTTCTGTTAAAGCAGCACTCTATGTAAAATCAAAGCAGCATGGTAACTTTAGATTTACTATGAATATATAGCAGAGAAGATCTAGGATAGCAGCATGGCAAGAAATTATAGGAGCATGGTGCCATGCTGCAAAAACAGCCTGCGGAGAACACTGCTTATATAACAACTGGCAATAAAACATTTCTATATATGTAACGATAGTTAAGTGGCTCAGTGGGTAACACACTTGCTTACACCAAGACGGCCTGGGTTTTATTCCCCTATTGAATGTGAAAAGGTACATGGGGTCACCTGCCCGACCACGGGTGGTAAGAACTTATTTCATAATTGTTGTAAAATAAATAAAAGTTAATATATATGATATATATTGCCACACCTTCTAGCAAACTTTTGGAGGTAGAAATTTGTTTGTTTGGGTTTTATATCTTCCCAACAGCTAAGGTTATCTGGAGATGGGTAAGGAGTTAGGTAGTTGATGAAAGGGACATTAAAACACAAAAGTAACTATTTAGAACAAAGAAGAGGTAAGACAGAAAAGGGGGCAAGATTTGAAAGGAGTTAAAGGTTTTATTTTATAGCATATTACAGTGTTTTGTTTCTCATTACATTATCAGAAAAACAAAGAAATGCGCATGTACATCTCAGTGAAATAAAGACCTCAAAACATAAAGAACTATACATATAAGGAAGGAGGCACGGTAGTCTAGTGGTAGGACGCCGGTTCGTGACCGAAGGGTTGCAGGTTTGAGTCATGGTACGGCACTGTGTTGTATATTTGAGCAAGACAATTTACTCCGCTTGTTCCAGTCTACTCAACTGTAAATGAGTACGTGGTTGGGTAGTGCTAGAATTGTTTAATGCTAGAAATGGCAGCACCGGCTGTATGCTCCCCAGGGAGTTGAGAAAGATGTTGGCTGGTTGCAAAGGCCCTATCACCACGGATAATAATTTGTGAACCGCTTTGAGACGACCTATAAACTAGGTTGTGATAAAGCGGTATATAAAAACCTCCAAGTATTATTTATTATATATAAAGAAATACATGTGTCAGTGACAGAAGTGTTAGGACTGCACATATACTTAGTGCCCATATCCTCGAGATAAAGACCTTCAACACTGCTCCTTGGTTTAATTTACACATACTCAATACCTATCAGTGCATATTGGTCCTTTTAATATACTCACCGCCCTAGAGTTTTCGTAAGTGTATACTTTTCACGTATTTCCTGGGGCAGACTAGTATCTTCATTGGCATTGTTGTCAAGGAACATGTATGCTGGAATGATACAAAAGGTTAAAACTACAATACCATGTATCAGAAAGACAGAAAACTACAATACCATGTATCAGAAAGACAGAAAACTACAATACCATGTTTCAGAAAGACAGATAAATTGTCTTCTTCTAAAAATCAGTGAATAATTTAGAAATTGCTCAAACAGATAATAACATCCTAATCATTTAAACAGAAAAATTCAATACATTTCCCCAAAAAACTCAAATTAAATTAATATAAGCAGATGATAACTTCACAAGATAATGCATGTCTTATAGCTTGTCCTTTTTTTATATTAAGAGATGACTCTACATTTGTATATTTAGTCCCTCTACAGTGTACTTCACACATGTAACTATCAGATTTAACATGAGAGTTGCTGCCCCTTAAGATTTAAAAAAAAATATGAATATAAACTTATCAGAAAATTCAATATTTTCTCTATTCAAGATTTTATAATTATATGTACCACTTTGTCAATCTGTCATCCAATTGTTTTTATTTAACAACTTCTGTCACCGAAAATGGCACTGCACACAAGTATATCAAACATAACACAGCTGCCGTGGGACATTAAAGTGATCTTTTAGAATCTCAAACTGCTTTATTTATGAAAATTTGACTGGATAAAGAGACCTCTGGGTTTCTGCTGTGTTGGAAAAAAGTCAAAAGAAGAAGCAGGCTATTTCAAAAACTATGTGTCAATAAAGATTCTACTTATCATTTATCCATACCCGGCACAACCCTAACCCTAACCCTATAGGTACTGTACACCAGGAAATTTTCTCCACAGTTAAATTCCCCAATTTCATCCTCTATAGCGAGGGTGAATTTATCATAACAGCAAGTATGAGTAAATAACTTACTGAGGGGGTACTATACGAACTAATTCAACTTGAAGGACAAAATTTATACTAAAGTGAAAATGGTTTTTATTGGTGAAGGGTACTAAAAGTTCTGGTTAAAGTTTCCCTGTGTACAATACATAAGGTTAGTTCCTCTACTTTGTACATGTAATCATATAGGTAGGCATTTCCTTATAATCAGGTATAGGTACCTTTATTCTTCTTTACTGCTAAAGACACCTCATCGTTGTTTGCCAGCACCTGTTTGTTCCCTTTACCTGTTCAAAAAGATACAAAAATATCTGTTTACCTGGCCAAAAATACCTAATTATTAAAGTGAATTAAAGAGAACTATTTCATGTTGTCATTTTCTTAACATGGGATTTGATGATAGGATATTTTCAGATAGCTTGATATGTGTGTACAAAGTTTTATCAAGATATTTTGTGGTTGTTCTTCGTTTGACATAATGAATAACAAATTTTATTGAAGAGTTTTCCTGTACTGGTCAGGAAACAATAATGTCAGCTAGACACATTAACTCAAGAAGGAATGGTACCCGGATTAATGCAGGAATAGAATGTTTGCACCAAATTATAAATAGGGGAAAATATGTGCTGCAGGAAGCAGGAGCCAGGGGGAAAGTAAAAAAGGTGTGCATGGATGACATCTTTAATTTTTGTTTCTCGCTTCAAATTGACCACTAGATAGTAGATATGCATTAGAATAAAGTGTGTGTGTAACTGTTATGATATTGTATACATAATGCATCTGTGATAACTTGAGAGTAGCCACAAATCAACCATGGGAAATTGCATATAATAAATACATAGATGTCCACATGCGTACCTATACAAGACTATCAGGGCCCTGGGCCCTTGCAACTAGTAATATAAATTGGAACAGCATTGGCCTGGCACATTTTTCTTTCAATTTTACATGTAATGTCCCCTCTAGTTTTGATATGGATTAATAGGGCCTATTGCTCTCATGATCAGCCTCCCAGATATTTCCTCGACTTATCTGATCTTGTACATACCAACTTTCTCTCCATTTATGAATGTTCCATTTCCACTTGTATCCTCAAGAAAAATGTGAACACCTGTACTGGTCTTTTGCTGTGAGGAAATAAAATTAACATAATTATATTTGCACATCATTTATTTATAATAACAGAATCACCATTGTTTTATGAAGAGTTTGAAACAAATCTGTCCTAAAATAAAAAAATAAACAGCCATAGACGGCAATACTTATATTACTCCATCATTATCATGCCACATATATACTTTAATACATGTAACAAAATCTACCAAGACCAGAGACATAATATATTCCTATATTCAAGACAAGTAATGATGTCTTTAGTGAGACCGTCAGCAATTATATATATATTAATGGACTCTTCAGTGCAGATCCAGATACCTATCTGGCGGGGGAGGGGGGGGTCCAAATTTTCCAGGAGGTGGGGGTGTTTCTATGATGGGGAAAAATTGAGGAAAATGGTGAAAATACATGATTTTTAAAGAAAATTCTCAGGTTGTAGGGGGGGGGGATGTCTTGAAGCTCTGGATCTACCACTGCTCTTGTACAAGAGACACAGTCCTGTGGTTGTTCACAAAAGTTAAAGATACTCCTTGATAAACTACTGCCATTTATTGTAGGTATACAACAAGAGGCCCATGGGCCTTAACGGTCACCTGAGTCTATAGTATTTATTTTTGTTGTTGAAATATGTACCAATTTGAGTAAAAAATAGTATAATGTTAACTTAACTTTGTCAGGACCATGAGCTGATCATTCCTAGACCAATTTTAAGTGAGATCGGCCTATTAGAACTTAGTAGCAAAATAGCGGCCATGGCAGCCAAATTGTATTTCTGATTGACCCGAAAAATAACAACACTTTGTCAGGACCATGATTCGATCATTCCTACAAAGTTTCAGTTCAATCGGCCAAGTAGATCTTTACTTTAAGTTTGAAATAGTTTACCAAAATGGCAGCTGTGGTGGCCATATTGGATTTCTGATCGACCTGAAAAATAACAACACTTTGTCAGGACCATGAGTCAATCATTCCTACAAAGTTTCAGTTCAATCGGCCTAGCAGAACTTGACTTTAAGTTTGAAATATGTTTTCAAAATGGTGGCCGTGGCGGCCATATTGGATTTATGATTGACCTGAAAAATAACAACACTTTGTCAGGACCATGAGTCGATCATTCCTACAAACTTTAAGTTCAATCGGTCCAGCAGAACTTGACTTTAAGTTTGAAATAGGTTTTCAAAATGGCGGCCGTGGTGGCCATATTGGATTTCTGATCGACCCAAAAAATAACAACACTTTGTCAGGACCATGAGGCGATCATTCCTACCAACTTTCAGTTCAATCGGTCCAGCAGAACTTGACTTTAAGTTTGAAATAGGTTTTCAAAATGGCGGCCGTGGCGGCCATATTGGATTTCTGATCGACCCGAAAAATAACAACACTTTGTCAGGACCATGAGGCGATCATTCCTACCAACTTTCAGTTCAATCGGTCCAGCAGAACTTGACTTTAAGTTTGAAATAGGTTTTCAAAATGGCGGCCGTGGCGGCCATATTGGATTTCTGATCGACCCGAAAAATAACAACACTTTGTCAGGACCATGAGGCGATCATTCCTATCAACTTTCAGTTCAATCGGCCCAGCAGAACTTGACTTTAAGTTTGAAATGTAAAATGTTAACGGACGACGGACGACGGACGACGGACGACGACGGACGAAAACGGATAGCAATAGGTCACTTGAGCTAAAGCTCAGGTGACCTAAAAATTCAGTTACATTACAACTTCAGGACAATCAGAGTTTGGAATAGCCTCTCATGGAGAGTCATAGACTCAGCTGCAGTTAAAGAATTCAAGATCAGTTTTGATGAACACTGGAAAAATATACACATGAAATACAATCACTTGGCAATGTGATCTTGGTTTTACATTTAATAAGCACATGTACATTACCAGTGATTTTTTGACAAATTTTCCAGTCAAATACTGGCTGTTTCTCCAAGCAAAAATGTGCTTTATTTCCCAAAATGAAGAGAATAATGAGGATTATCTTCCAAATTTTAAAATACCCTTGTATTCACACATTGTGTGCCATATGGTATGAGGAAATGAATAGAAAAAGTGACTTCTGTTGAAGGTATATTGTCATTGCAACCAATTGTATCAAGTTTCATGAAATTCTGTTAAGTAATGAAGTTGCTAGAGCGGTGACAAACTTTTTCTAAAAATAGTAACAGTGACCATGAACTTCAACGCAGTAACTCGAAACGCGAAATTGTTCAAGGTCTTGTCATACGAAACACTTGTATGAAGTTTCGTGAAATTCCGTAGAGATATGAAGTCGCTAGAGCCATGACACAGTGTGGGCGGAATCCGAGCTATATCTCCTCAAACTTTCGTTGCAAGGGGATAATAAACATAATGTTGTACCTTGTCAAATTCATGCAGTAACAGTCTGTTGTAAAATTTAAATGAAAAAAAAACACTGGTAAGAGTTTATGTATACGACATTATAAAATAACATCATATATTATAAAATGTAACAAGAAGCACAGTATGCACATTGTATTGGACTAGTGTTAACAGTAACCTGAAAACTTACCCTGATCAATTTAAAGTGTACTTTGCTATAGGCTTGAAAGTACTGGTGTTTCTTTGCTGACGGCGCACAAAATGGAACATCACAGTTGTCTCCCCTGCCAAAGGTATACTCATCCTTGCTTAGCTCTGAATAAATAATAAAAGTTTCACATTAATTAATAAATAAGAAACAGAAAAATATATTGAATACACTCAAGTATATTGAATAACACTCAAGTTTTAGTGTTTATAAAGCTTAGGATAATTTGAAACACCTTCTCTTGTAACCAAGACAAATAATAACGTCTGTTCAAGGATTAACCCATCCATCAGCCATAAAACCTTACATGTAATTTAATATGAGGAATGGTAGGCAAATCTGGTTTAATCCCAACACCCATACTATATTAACACATGCATGCCAAAGCCTTGATAATAATGAAAACTTACAGGTAGCATTCTTACTGACGTCATAATTAGACATCACACATTCTATACCTGGGGGATAGATAGGTGATATAACAGACCAGGGAGAGGATAGAACATATATGCTAGCTGTTATTCTTACATTTTGCACTACAAACCCCTAATGATCAGACCCTGTCATTTGTAGGAATCAATTAATTGCAAACTATCACTGAGGTGTGGCTGTTTTTTCCCCCTGCATGACTGCTATTACAAAGACATTAATAAATTTCTAGTAAATTATACTTCAGCAAAAACAACACCTTTTCAAAATAAATTCAGATGATTATTGCAAATAATATCCAGTGAATTTTTTTTTGGGTGGGGGGTGGGGGTATTCTAATGTACATTTAAAATATTATTCATGTTGGCACAGGAATTTAAGATTTGGTCAACAATTAAAAGTTAAAAAAGCAACCCCTACAATATGCTTGAATATACAAAATGTAGAAGCATATTATACAGGTTATGCTTTATTACTATACATTATTTATTTATTATTGACATAATCTTGGACTCCTGTGACTGAAGGTAGAATTTGTATAAATTAAGATAAGTTTTTGTTAAAATGTGGCCCTTAAATAAGGTTGCAATAATTTTGTCGAGGATAAAAAAAAAAAACTTGGAAAATGTACAAGCGGGATATGTAAATATTATAGATAGACAGGGGACATAACTCTTGCACGTGTTGTCCATTGCTAAACCAAAATAATCAATACTTGATTCATAACCAATGCATCATGTTATGACGACTGGTATTCGGTGGTCTAGTCATGTTCTCCATATAGTGTATACTGTGTGGGACGTTGACGATCGTTGTCCACTTGACACTAATGCTGTCACAGTCGATTAAAAAAGACAACATCGGAGAACATGCAGTGTCAGCGTACCGATGGCTGTGAAACTCTGGCCGAGTGGGAACAACTTTCCCCAGCAATCATCGTCCTGTGAGTCATCATCCTCGCTGAAATCTCCATCAATGAAGTCTGCAGGGACTGTCTCCATGCTTGCGGTTGATGAGCTTCCCTGTGATTGTCCAGCTACCTGTGATACGGTAGCGTTGGCTATGTCAACAAGCTTTTCTGTATTTTTGTCGTCCAAACACGAGTTACCTTTCCTCATAACCGGCACATAATACGCATGCGCAGAACAGAATGAACATGGGAGATGGTAATATCAGGAATAAACTCGAATAATACCTAACATTGGTATAAAAATGATAAAATCTACATAAATACTCAATTAATTTGTGTAAACTCTCATTTCTAGAATAAGTTGATACTAAAGGAAAGGCATCACTTTTGAATAATAAATATGAACAATGTAATATGGCTTACCGGTTATCTCTCTTTAACCTCAGCGTTTACTAAAGAATTAAGACTTGCAGACACGTCTGAACATTTCTTCTTCTTCTTCTTTAGGTTATCAGTAGTCCTTCAATGATCTGAAGATTATTTACTGTTTCGCGCAGTGTGGCCTATATATATATATTTACAAGAATACCAAAAATTATGAAAATGAATTTGGAATGCATCAATTTTAAATTGTGATTAAAACTATGTACATATATATAGCTAGGCTTATAAAAATTAGATGAATTTGTGGAGAACAGCTGGTGTGAGCTGTTCTCTGAAAGTGTCGACTGTTGTATTAGTGACTGTAGGGATTGGTAATACATTCCATTGAGTAATGGTATAAGGAAAAAATGAAAATGTATGTGTATATTTTTTTGGATGAAATGTGTCTGAACGTGAAATTATGATTTTTTCGGGTTCTACTGTCTGATGGTATGAGAATAGCAGATGGGTTTGCTACAATTTGACTATTTTGTAGAACATTATTAATCTTGTGCGTAGTCTTCTTTATTGTAGTGTTTGCCAGTTTAATGAATTTATCATATCTGTAGGACTACTGATGTTATGGTACCTGTTACAGACATATCCGGCAGCACGTCGTTGGACCATCTCGATTTTAGAAGTTTGTTCAACTAGCTGTGTGAGGGTCCCATACTGTACACGAATATTCCAGTTTTGGTCGAACTAGCGCCAGATATGCCTGACTCTCGATGTTCTGACATGATGTTTTTAAATTTCTTTTCATGAAGCCTAAATATTTGTTGCCATTATCTATAGTGTTGTCTGTATGTTTTAACCATTTTGAGTTTGCTTGTAGTGTAATGCCCAGATATTTAGCTGAAGAGACCAGTTCAAGTTTGTGATTGTGGAGGATGTAGTCATGTTTAAACTGTTTTTTAGCTCACCTGGCACGAAGTGCCAAGTGAGCTTATGCCGTGGCGCGGCGTCCGTCGTCCGTCCGTCCGTCCGTCGTCCGGCGTCAATATTTTACTTTAAACGACTTCTTCTTAATAACCGAAAGGCCTAGGGTGTCAATATTTGGCCAGAAGCAAACTTGGATGAAGGGCTACAAAGTTTGTTCAAATAAATGACCTTCACCTATTTTCAAGGTCACAGGGGTCAAATATGTCAAAAACTTTAAACATCTTCTTCTCAATAACCAAAATGCCCAGGGAGATGATATTTGG